TGCGGTGCCCGCCTCGGTGTCAGTGAGCGGCCTCGTAGGCAGACCCTCCTGGGTGAGGCGAGTTGTTCCCTCTGGCTGTCCCGTCACTGCCGCAGACCCCGTGTCCAGAGCCACTGGTGTGGTCACAGGGAGTCCTGTGCCCGAGGCCTAGCGACTCTTAGGGCCACCCAATGCGACGACGAGGGGCTGCGGTGTGTTGGGTGGGGTTCTGTGGATGCAGGCAGGGCCCGTGCTGGGGAGGCCCAGCCCAGAGCAGTGGGCCCCCGTCCCCCTGAGGTACGCAGACAGCGGCAGCTCTGAGCCCGGCCCCGCGGTGGGAGGGCTCGGTGGCTCGTGGCCGCTGCTCCGCGTCTGGCTGCTGTTGTGTTGGTGGAAAGAACTGATTATCTTAACAGGCAAGTGAAACAAAAAGTAACTTTTCAAATATCAAGACTCTTCAATGCGTCTCGGGTCACGGTTGGCTTTTTCTTAGTGTCCCGTAGCAACGGTGGCTTTGACGAGCACGTGGACCTGGCTTGTGTGGCCGGCAAGTGGCCTCAGACCTTCTTGATCTTGTCTTCTCTGGGTGGAGGGGCCTTAGAGCCGTTGCTGCGCTCGCCCTGAGCCGTGCGTCTGCGAGGCGTTGGGAACGCTCCTTCCTCTGGCTTCGCCCGGGGCGAATGTGGAGCCTCTTGTACTTTGGTGTGTGCAGCGAGGGTGTGGGGGCTCCCAGGGGCTGGCGTCCCTCGGGCCGGACTGGGACTGCTGTGTCACACAGCAACAGTGGTCCTCTGTCACCTTAGGCAAATTGCTTCACCTCTTTGGGCCTCAGTTTTCTGATCTGGAGAATGGGGTTCTGAAGTGATGTGCGTACAGCCGTTAGCACAGCCTCGGGAAGTCCCTGTTGTGTGGTTGTCGTCGCTACATTAACACTTCCTGCACGTGTGAGCGGGGTGCTCTGTGCTCACAGGCCGGGGTACCCAGACGGGGTGGGGTGGGGCCTGGAACAGGGCGCAGGCTTTTACCACTGATGTGCAGGGTTCTGCACATAGGGTCGAAAAAAGCAGGTCACGTGGAGGATGTTATAGTTGCTTTAAGTTGTAAGTATCAGACCAGCCCCTGCTGGCCACACCCCATGGGTCCCGGCGCTGGGTTTGCTGTTTTGCCCTGACCCTCCTCCTTTAGAAGACGTCCCAGGAGGCCAGGCTGGGGTATGGGGGCGGGGCCGGGGTTCAGCTCGAGGCCACGGTCCCGCCCGGTATTTTCTCCACTGCGGCCAGCCGGGCCTGTCCTGAAGGTCACGGCCCCAGGTCCCGGGATCGGCGTGGGAAAGCCTGCTCAGTGTCGCACAGCTGGTTCCCGGCGGGGCCCTGGGGACGGACAGCACCTAAGGGTGGGCCTTGGTCTTCGCGCACTGCCCCTCAGACCTGTACCTTTCACAGCAGCTGAGGCAAGACAAGGCCGCTGCTCACAGCCTATTCAACTTGGTGGTGGTTTTGCAAAACCTTTCAGATAAAGAGTCCATTGAGCCGGCTGGTCTCGCTGACACACTTCTCTGGCGGAAGCGGGTTGTGTTACCTGCCCGGTGCCGGCCTCCCAGACCCCAGGGAGGTGGCCTTCCTTCCTGGCCTTCCCCTCGGGGTGTGGTCTGGGCAGTCAGTGCCTCCTGACCTTGCCACCCCCCTTGCCAGTGACAGTAGAGAGCGTGGCGATGGGGACGGCGTCCCAGGGCAGGCACGCTCGCCTCTGTCCTTAGAGAGATGGGAGGGCCAGTCAGGGGCGGCGGCCAGGGACAGACTCACATGGTCGGAGCCCTGCTCCAAAGCTTGACCAGGGTCCAGACCTTTGAGTGAGCGCTTCGTGTGGCTATTCCCATGATGCATGGATACGTGGACACAGGACTGTGTGCACTCACACGTGTGCACTGTGGCATGTACACTCTGAACGGCTCCCTGTGCAGCGGACGTGCTGCAGCTTCTGCGGCCTCGCAGGTGCTGCTGGCAGCCCTTCACCACCTTGTGAGGTCTGCTCACCATCCTCCGGCCCCTTCCCAAGACCCGCTCGGTGGCAGATGAGAGCCCACGGCCCCCCTGCCATCCTCACCAGCCGTGGGAACCACAGAGAGACTCAAAGTCACTGTGAAGTGGGCCCTGGCGGGCAGCTCAGCTGGTTAGAGCATCGCCCCTACACCAAGGTTATGGGTTCGATCCCCGGTCAGGGAACATACAGGAATCGATCAGTGAATGCACAGATAAGTAGGACAACAAGTCAATGTGTGTCTGTCTGTCTCTGTCTCTCTTCCCGCTTCCTCTCTAAAATCAACAAAACAAAAAACTCAAAGTCCCTGTGAAGCGGAGGGGAGGCGTGAAAGGGTGTCGGCCCAGGGCTGGTAACAGGCGTCAGGTCCCTGTCACAGTGATTCCTGATTCCAGCCGCTGCCCCACGAGGACCACAGTGGGGCTCACTGGTTGCACTGGTCTCAGCGTCGGCCTTTAGCCAAAGCCCAGGGCGCACCTTGTGCAGCAGCTGTGTGTGTATGTGGGGGAGGGGGGGGTGGAGGAGCCGGGGGAACCCCCTGCGGCCCGTCTCCTGCGCATGGACTGGTTCCCCAGGAAGTCCCGTGGGAAAGCGGGGGTGCCGGTCGGAGGAGGGGGGAGCAGAGTCCAGCACTCCCCCACCTCCACCCCCCACCCGCTGCATTCAGGCAGGCGCGGTGGTGCTTGCTTCCCTTCCACTGCCTTTCACAGCTGCGCTCCCAGTCTCCAGAGCATCCCCGTGTGTGTCAGTCTGGGGGCG